CAGACACATTCTGACAGCACTTCAGACAGCAGCTTTGTGCCCCGCCAGCTGCTTGTTCCATGCCTACCATGGTGTTTTTGTACAGACAGCACTTCAGACAGCATTATGCTGTAGTCGGCAATCTTCCGTTTTGGTATAGAGTGGGACAGGGAGGGGGTGATGCTACTGTAGTCGAACGGTGGGACGGACGTGCAGTTCAGTTTTTGGGCACGCATACGGTGCTGCAGGGATTTTTAGGTGTACCTCTTCGGGCTCTTGCATACCTTTTTCTCGTCAGATGTGTGCGTGTTCTTTAGATCCTCAGATGGCTCTAGCACTTTCGTGACCACGGGCCGAGAGTCTTTTGCTAGATTTTGGCATGTAGCAACTGACATACGGTTTAATGTGAAGACAAACAACAACAACCGTTGGACGCGCAAAAAAAAAACACTACACCCCCCCCACCTTCGCACCACCACCAGTACGATTTTCAAAGGAACCTCCTCCTCGCCGCTGATCTGCAACTAACTACCCACCGTTCACCCCGCGAGTAGCCCCTCACCCCTTCGTGAGTGCTCAGTATATCTTGCAGCTGTCGCGTTTTTGGGGCTCTGTTCTTACACCACAAAGAAATGCGGGTGGGTTCGGTCTTCTTGTTCTTAACACCACGTCGGGCCTGGGCACGCACGTGTGTTATAGTAATTATTATTTTGTCGACAATAATTTCTTTGATTTTGACTTTTCTTCGAGGCCGCATTTCTTAACTGCCAAGTTCTGAAGTGCGGGCGCCATCTTCATCTTCTGATGATCATAGTGCCGGAAGCAACATAGACAGACATGGGCCTACTCTATTTGATATATATATATGTTGTTGCGTAGAAACACGCACGGCAACGACCGGGGGGCAAAGCAAAGACCGAGAAAAAGAGAGATAGAGTAGGAGATGATATACTACCTGTACAACCGTGCCCACTGGACACCTGTGCTCTCTACCGTTGGATGCGGAGAGTCGCCCCGCTCGCAGCCGTCTTTCTGTTGATACGTGGTCCCATATCACAACAACAGCAGCAACAGCAGCAGGGTGCCGCAGCTC